ACATGCGATTGTGAGCGTCACCAGTTAGAAATGAGAGGGACAAATCAACAATTTGCGATGAAGACGTTTGCCATAAATGTTGGTAAGGGTCAGTGACACGAGTGAGTCTGACCTCGTCCTCAAGGACTCCTTGGGCAGCGTCTTACTGCTGCTGGGTATCACACTCGCCTCACACTTCCGCCACTAGTCCTTAAAGAATTTATTATTAATGATAATAATAATGATTATTACTACTGCTGGCTTCGTCGATACTCACGCCAAGTAATGACATCAGCAACAACAATAATAATAATAATAATAATAATAATAATAATAACAATGATTAATTTCAGATTATTTAAGTTTTGTATAAATCTTTGTTCCTCGTTTTCCTCTTACTCCTGTTCTTCTTAGTTTTTCCCTCTTCTTTCCCCTTTTCCTCTTTGTCGTTGTTTTTCCTTTTCCTATTGTTCTTCCTTGTCTCTTTGTTCTTTCTTTTTTCTCTTTGTTCTTGTTCTGCTTCTCTTTATGTTCCTTTCTTTCATTTTATCTCCTTCAGGTTTTGTTCATCTTCATTGTCCTTTTGTTCAGTTTAGCTTTAGTCCTCTGTTTTTTCCCCTCTTCCTTACCCTCTTCTCTCTCAATTTTCGTACCTTTATTAATTTAACTTACCTAAGATATATTCTCCGTGATGCCAGTAAAAGTTAACATTACCCAGACATTCTCACACACATTTTATCTGCCCTCTCATATTATTATAGTAATGGAGAATGGGTAGACTTATATTGGTCCGGCAGCGATTGGGGAATGCCAGATACTCAAGTTTGATTTAACGAGGGAGGACCGGGGGTGATTCCCATTCCTTGAATCAAAAGCTCTTCAGAAGCATCAAGGCACCCCACGTGAAGGTATTTACCCATTGTACCTCACAACATTTTCACACGTTCTGCCGAAATGGTTATTGAGAAAATTGACTTCAAAGGAAAAATATATAAATCTCTAAATAAACAGTAACGAAGTTTTTATAAAAAAAAACAATTAAAAAATATAACATCACTCAAACAAAATGTAGCACAGCTGCAATTTAAAGTACGATATAGAGTTTTAATCATTATAAATTTACCGTAACAAAATTTCTAAATTGCATTAACTGTTAAGAGATGGTAAATAAGTGTTTAAACGAATCAGAATCCCGTTAAAATATTTTTAACTTTAACCGCAGCTACAGAAATAGTTTGGTAAATCCAACTTAATCTTTACGTCTGCCAAACCTTTCTATCGTGTGAAATTGTCTTGTTCTGAATGCCTTTTGTTTTCTTATTTTTACCGAGGTAGACGTATTTACGGTCGTTAAGTCTGCGAGCGAGCGATTAAGGCCACAATCGGGGTACATTCCAATGGCTTCACGTTTCCAGGTGTCTAGATTGGCCTCTTTATGGTCTTAATGACCGGATAATTTTGTCAAGATTGTTTTTCTTCGAGTTATTCCACAGTGTGCCGGGAGGAATGCAAGTAGACGTAGGTAGACAAATTGGTAGATGGGTTGGTAGGTAGACAGATGTGTAGATAATCCTGTAGATATGTAAGTATGCGGCTAAGTTAGTATGTAGGTAGATGTGGATATATGTAAGATGAGAGGTAAGGTGCTGGTCGCTAGGCAGAAATGACAGACAATTTCATAGGTGAGTCGACAGATACGGCGATATTTTGACGAGTCGACAGTCTAACAGAAATATAGGGTTACAGAATAACGATGGACAGTTGTATGAGGTCAAGACTGAGGTCATATATCAAGCAGAAGACAGACAACAAATTCGATGCATCAACAGAGAATAAAGATTGAAACTAAGTTAGCAGCATGAGACCTAGCACAAGACGAACTAAGTTAGTGCTGCTTTGAACAATGGGAAGGCGAATGTGGTGGGAGACAGTAAAAACTCTCGCCAGCCAGTTATAATGGCGGTGGATTGTGACATAAATGACAGTCGCTGAGGTACGCTGGAATGTACCCTTGCTGGGGCGCCTCTTTTGTTTCGTCAGATAGCCTTCCCGCCATTTCCCGAACACCGTTTTATTTTTATTTAATTCTAAAAAAAAAGGGGGGGGGCTCTTTATTGACATTTAAAAAAATTATTTTATAATTGTGTTCGGTAATCGAATGCGGTTAACCAACACGGCGATGGAATTTCTTTTTTTTGTTGTTGTTGAGGAATGAGTTTGACCGCAAGAAGCGGTGGTGGTGGTTTGGTCCCGTGTACTCTCTCAGGCCGCCGTCGTCACAGGCTATATCACATGCTGATTTTGTTGCCCTCTACGATTTATTCATCTAGTTTATTACACCGTAGAAACTGCTATTTTTTTCCTTGCTTGACGAACGTTATATAAGATCCGTCACGGTACACCGAGCAAGAAGAATTGCTCGATTCTTTTTGATCATCACGATGTTCATTGTCGCCTCTGTTTTCCACCGAAGAAGCCTGCTCCGCGAGCGAAACGTCTAGGCAGAAATAAAGATATCGAAGTGTTGCACATGTGTATGACCCAATCGGGTTTACTTCATAATTCTATATTCTTCTTCTTTGTTTTTTTCTTCTTCTTCTTCTTCTTCTTCTTCTTCTTCTTCTTCTTCTTCTTCTTCTTCTTCTTCTTCTTCTTCTTCTTCTTCTTCTTCTTCTTCTTCTTCTTCTTCTTCTTCTTCTTCTTATTATTATTATTATTATTATTATTATTATTATTATTATTATTTTGTGATCCATCAAAATAAAGCAGCCCTGAGTAGTAGGTTGTATTTGTATTTTGTTTTGGTATATAAAGTTCTATAGGTATTTGGAACTGATATCTAATTTTAGGAGCCTGTTGCAGTGCTCCTTGGTTATTGTGTTCTTGAAACTCTTCATGGTTTAGGGGATTAAATTAATTCAATATGATATCCAGCACCTTAATTAGAATGTATTACGGCGAGGTAAAGGGTAGCTTGTCTGACTGGTCTGGTAACTGGAGCGTGTGTGACTGGGTGTGTTTATCCCACGGGTCCGGTAACCGGGTTTCTGGAGCTGTTGTGCCGGTGTCTGTGGGGTGGGTGTATCAGGTTGGCTGTTGTGTTGGTGTCTGTGGCGTGGTTGCGTCATGTTGACTGTTGTCTTGGTGTCTGTGGCGTGGAAGCGTCATCTTGTTTGTTGTGTTGATGTCTGTGGCCTGGGAGTGTCATTTTGGATGTCGTGATGATGTCTGTGGCCTGTGTGTTATTTTGGTTGTCGTGTTGGTGTCTGCGGCCTGAGAGTGAAATCTCGAAGTGAGGATATATCTGGGTGGTTACTCCATAATTTACTAAAGGTAACACAAATATTTGTTGTCATTAGTACCAATTTATCCATAAAAGCTAAGCAGAGTACTTAAGATACAAGAGCAAATACCTTACTCCAGACCTCAGACTTGAGTGCAACAACGACGCTAGCGACGGTTAACGTACAAATTTTGTTATGGTTGTTCTTTGCAAAGAATCCTGGTACAAAAGAGAGGTAATTAAGAACAAGATCTGTAAAAGTACTCTTCGTAGTCTTGAGCTCCGATCATGTCGGTCTTGAGCTTTGGCCTTGTGTTAGTACTCTTTTCGTATCTGGGTCTTGAGCTCCGGCCATGTGTTTAGCGATGCTAACATAATGCAGAGATAACGAGTGTCCTTTTTTATCATCTCAGAACCTGTTATTACCCATGTTGAAAATTCTCTTGGCCTTGACCTTCTATACTACCGATATTTTTTTTATCATGTAGCAACCAGCAGGTTCACTATCTTGTTTTTCTTTGGATATGCTTAATTTGCCGGGCAGAATTCCGTGCTTCCTGTAGTGCATTTAGCCTCGTGGGAGAGTGTCGCGGATGGAAAATGACGCCTGTTTTCTCTTATTACCAGGAACTTGTAATAGATATCTCATTTTGGTTCATACTTTGCAACCTGTAAACAGTTCATTTTATTTGATACCTCAGACTTTCAAAAAAAAGTTTTCTTTCATACTGTAGATTATATATATATATATATATATATATATATATATTATATATATATATATATATATATATATATATATATAATGTCGTGCCGAATATGTAAAACTGGTCAATTAGCAATAACTCATTTAAAATTAAGTTCTTTCTAAAATTTCTCTTATACGTTTAAAGATATATTTTTTTCATTAATGTTGATGTAAAAATTTATAATTTTGCACCAAAAGGAACTTAAAAAACTTACCTAACCTTATTATAACAAAAACAATTTATTTTAGCCTAACCCAACTAAATATATTTTAGATTTGTTTACAATAGTTTAATACTAAACAAACACGGTGAAATATATTTTTTTTCGTTAGGTTCAGAATGATTTTGGCGAAATTATTGCATACACAAATTTTCACTTGTCCTATATGGCAAGATGATCGTTGCTATTTAAGCCAAGATCCCAAGTTCTGCCTATTCGGCACGACATATATATATATATATATATATATATATATTATATATATATATATATATATATATATATATATATATATATATATATATATTATTGTAACCACGGACGAGTGGTATTGATCAGTAACAACACTGCGCTAGCCAAGGATTCGAACCCAGGCCAGTACAACATGGGTTCGAATCCTTGGCTAGCGCAGTGTTGTTATTGTTATTGGAGGGATATGTTATGTATCTTTATACGTATATGCTTCTAAACTGTTGTGTTCTGAGCACCTCTGCAAAAACAGTGATTGTGTGTGAGTGAGGTGAAAGTGTTGAATGATGAAAGTATTTTCTTTTTGGGGATTTTCTTTCCTTTTGGGTCACCCTGCCTCGGTGGGAGACGGCCGACTTGTTGAATATATATATATATATTCACACGGAATATACGTGTGTTTGCGGCGATGCGCAAGCTGACCAGTGTGGTCTACATGGTCTTAACTGTTCCAAAACCAAGGGCTGGCATGCAAGACATAATGAGGTCAACGACATCATAAAGAGAACCCTTTCTACAGCTGGATGCCCAGCTGAGATGGAGCCCCGATAACTAGCAGCCAACAATACCCACAACCCAGCAAACCGCCCCGACGGGATCACCATCTATCCTCGGAAGAATGGCAAGCTCTTAGCATGGGACTATACCTGTGTGTCCACACTGGCGGACACCTATATCCATCACAGTGTCGGGCGACAGGGAGGAGCTGCTGACCACAGGGAAGAATACAAGATCAGCAAGTACAGGGACATAAGCCAACAATATCAATTTGGCCTAGTGGGATCAGAGACCTTGGGATCATGGGGAAAACATGGAACTGGGTTCCAGATTCATCGACACCACCAGGGACCCAAGGGCAGCCACTTTCATGTTCCAGCGGCTCAGCGTGGCCATGCAGAGGGAAATGCATGCTGCATGCTGGGCTCGCGTCCAGCTTCGGAGGAGCTGGAGGAGATTCATAACCTTTCATATATTGTACCAATGTATTCATGTTGTTTTTTCTATCAATGTATTCTGTCTATTAATAACGTTGACATGTAGTTTAAAAATATAGGGGGTGGTAGGAGAAGAAAATATTCAAAGAGCTCCGGGAAGAACCTTGAGTTTTCCCTGAGGTACGTTTATTGTCTTCTCTGAGGATGAGGATCCCCAGTCCAGTTTAGAGGTGGTACCTCCCTATATTTAACCTATATATATATATATATATATATATATATATATATATATATATATATATATATATATATATATATATATATATATATATATATATATATATATATATATATATATGTGTGTGTGTGTGGTGTGTGTAGTTTTGTTTTGTGGCAGATTATAAGAAAAAACAAATTTTACTTCGCAGATTTTAATAATTTTTTTATACCACATAGTTTTAGAAAAAAAAACATTTTCTTTTTATACCGCGGACTTTAAGTACGAAAAAATTCGTTTCCAGCTTCGCACATCTTAAAATTCAAGGAACTCAAAGAATTCAGATTCGACCGGCGAAACTTTGTTAATCGCATTTCAAACCCGGGTAAATGAGTTTCGACTTGTGCTACCAGCTGTGCATTTGGGAGGCTATTTTTCTTCTTTTTCTTCTTCTTCTTCTTCTTCTTCTTCTTCTTCTTCTTCTTCTTCTTCTTCTTCTTCTTCTTCTTCTTCTTCTTCTTCTTCTTCTTCTTCTTATTCTTCTTATTCTTCTTCTCATTATTATTATTATTATTTAAAGGACCGCCAAGCCTGACCTGTTTTTCTCCCGTTACAGTATATCTTTGAACTAGATTCACGCGGTAACGGATTTCACTCAGTCCAGTTTGTGGGAAATGCCTTAAATTTTACAGTATTCTACTTTTGTTTTTGTTTTTTTTTTTTGGTAACGGGATGGTTACTAGATAAATCCTTTGTAGGGAGGATGTGTCAAGTAAATGGACACAAGTGCAACTAATGTGATATTTTATTATGGCAACCTTTCGCGCTCCAGGAGCTTTGTCAAGGTGCGTCTTGATGCTAATATCTGACGCTTTATTCAAGGAATTGGAGCGCTGATGTATATCTAATTTTGCTAAATAAAAAAATCAGTAATTTTGGGCCCTCCAGTCTCACGTTGTCATACCTGACCCACGCTCATGTCTGGCTCATCCTCAGACCTTATTCATACCTATACTTGACCCACGCTCTCACCTGACCCACGCCTACTACTAGCCCATGCCAGGCATCCCCGGATTCAGATGCACGTCGATCTGTGGCTGTGAATATTAAAACAACCGTGTAGCTTGAGAAGTTTGACGACAGACTGATGATTAATTTGACTGTTGGACTGGAGTCCCGTAGCAGCGTGTAAACTGCGGTGTTGTGGATGGGTCACTGGCTCTCCGGGGCAGCTATTGCTATTCTGGACGATGAATACGTTAAATCGCCCACTGCCAAAGTTGAAATTTCTTAAAAAAAAATGATGAGAAAAACTTGGTGGTTATATGCCCTCACGTGTGTGTGTGTGTGTGTGTGTGTGTGTGTGTGTGTGTGTGTGTGAGGCGAGATTGTGCAGTAATATATTTCTTATTTTGTGTTATTGTGTTCTCTTATTTCATGTTGTTCTCCTGTTTCATGTTGTGTTCTCTTATTTCATGTTGTGTTCTGTTTCATGTTGTATTCTCAAATTTCATGTTGTATTCTCATATTTCGTGTTGTATTTCTCATATTTCGTGTTGTTGTGTTTTCGTATTTCGTTTAATTGTGTTATGTTATTTCGTGTTATTGTTTTCTTACTTCGTGAATTTTTCTCTTATTTCGTGTTGTGTTCTCCTTTTTCTTGTAATAGTGTTCTTTTATTCTTATTGCGTGTAACTATGTTCTTTTATTTCGTGTTAGTGTGATTGTGTTCTTTCATTTATATTGCGTGTAATTATGTTTTATTTCGTGTTAGTACTTGTTTTTATTTCGTGTTATTGTGTTCTCTTCGTGTAATGCCTGGAAGGTCTGCCTATAGTACATCCTTCCTCTTGTAGTGGTATTCTTGGCGCATCCTTCCCGCGACCCTGCAACTCAAGCTCCAGACCTCGCTCACCTTCTGCTACGACCTCTTCTTGCTTCTTTCTCCTCCCTCATACCGGGGCTGCTCTGTACCCCCCCCCCCATCTCTCTCTCTCTCCACACCTTCGCCGCCTCCGTGTTGGTGTTTTGCTTGTCAGGTAAACCCCCTCTGGGAAGGTACCTTGATGCTGGGTTGAGGGTTTTTCTGATTCAGAAGAATTTGACCTCTTCTCCATTTCTTTGAAACGAATCTGGTTGATTCCTATTTCCACAGGCGCTTCATGATTCCGATGGGTTTAGAGCTCCGGGAATGCAATAATATTAAGCAACCGCCGTCATAATTGTGCTGGGTATCAATAATTAAACAAGGTTTCTACCCTGTTAAGAATAAATCAAGTATCATATTTTGTCTATATATTAAGAGGCATCGATTTCCCCCGCCTCGCTTATTGGCTCATAAAATGGTTATATATTAACCATAATTTTTAAGGGGGTGGACCGGTAAGCCAGCTGAAGGCCTCGGTCAGATGACCAAAAGCTCCAGCTCCGGGTCTTGGTCATAATATGACTAAGACCTGCGTCAGGAAACACTTGTCCTGTTTCCTGACAATTATTGTACCTACCTACCCACCACGTCTCGCAGAAAGCACATTAAAAACCGGCTACAACTACTTCCACTGTTTGGTCGTCGGTCCGTTGATGACGTTGACGGGATTCTGATGTTATCGCCTTGTAGTTATGGAATGCATAACATAACGATCTCATTAGTAAATAACCAACAGCGTGACGCAGGATGATGTGCGGGTTGCTTGCTCAGTCATGTTAAGCGTCGCTGGGTCAGGCCAGTAAGTGCTTCTTAAGAGCATGATCACACGAACACAGCCATACCTTGGGTTAGAGGGACCTCGATAAGCCATATATCTACGCTCCAAGCAGACCTGATGCTTGTTTTTGCACCATCAGGGAGATTGGAAATGCCTTTTGTTTTTGCATGGTTTTCAAACTATGGCCCGCCCGCCATGTAGCTATGAGCCCCACGACAAGACGAAATATTTTGTTTTTGTGTATCGGTTTGTGCAGACCAAATGTTACTGTGTTGTCAGAACACTCGCTCTTGCTGCATATATTTATTTAGACTCTGTAAAAAGACGAGGTTAGTAAGTTTTGCTGGCTTTCTCTGGTGTGTCGTACATGATGGTGTCATTTTTATATGTATTATCATGGGGTACCGATGGTTTCTGTTGGTAAAGGATGCTTGTTCATGTGACCTAGAAGTGTGTGTAACAGACTCGACGTAGAGTGGCACTTGCGCGCATGCACGTACGCACTTACACGCACGCGCACACGCACGCGCACACACACGCGCGCACACACACGCACACACACACACGCACACACGCACATGCGCACACACACACGCACACACACACACGCACACACGCACACGCACACACACGCACACACACGCACGCACACACACGCACACGCACACACGACACACACGCACACACACGCCACACACACGCACACACACACGCACACAGCACACACGCACACGCGCCCCACACACGCACACACACAACGCACACACACCGCACACACACGCACACGCACACACACCGCACACACACGCACACACACACGCACACCACACCGCACACACACACCACACGCACACACGCGCACACACACGCAACACCACCACACGCACACACACACACCACACGCCACACGCACACACACACCACACACACGCACGCACAACACGCACACACACGCACACAACGACACAACGCACACACACACACGCACCACACACGCACACACACGCACACACACGCACACACACGCACACACACCGCACACGCACACACACGCACACACCACACACAGCACACACACACACACACAACACACAACACACACACACACACACACACCACACACACACACACACACACACACACAACACACACACACACACACACACACACACACACACACACACCACACACACACACACACACACACACACAATACCGAGTACATCGCCAGAAGTACACATTAACCAGATAACTGCTGCGGCATATGGGCGCTTGACAAACCTGAGAATAGCGTTCCGGTACCTCAGTAAGGAATCGTTCAAGACTTTATACACTGTGTACGTCAGGCCCATATTGGAGTACGCAGCATCAGTTTGGAACCCACACCTGGTCAAACACGTCAAGAAATTAGAAAAAGTGCAAAGGTTTGCAACAAGGCTAGTTCCAGAGCTAAGGGGAATGTCCTGTGAAGAAAGGTTAAGAGAAATCGGTCTGACAACACTGGAGGACAGGAGGGTCAGGGGAGACATGATAACGACATACAAAATACTGCGTGGAATAGACAAGGTGGACAGAGACAGGATGTTCCAGAGATGGGACACAGAAACAAGGGGTCACAATTGGAAGCTGAAGACTCAGATGAGTCAAAGGAATGTTAGGAAGTATTTCTTCAGTCATTGAGTAGTTAGGAAGTGGAATAGTCTGGCAAGCGATGTAGTGGAAGCAGGAACTATACATAGTTTTAAGACGAGGTATGATAAAGCTCATGGAGCAGGGAGAGAGAGGACCTAGTAGCGGTCGGTGAAGAGGCGGGGCCAGGAGCCGAGTCTCGACCCCTGCAACCACAATTAGGTGAGTACACAGAGGTCTTTAAATAAGTCCCAGGGTGGAAACACAAGTTCTTTAGAGCAAGCATTGTCGAGGATTACATCTCTATATAGAAGCTTCAACAAGTTCTTTAGAGCAGACATTGCCTGAGATGCCCTGTATAAAAACTTTAATTTTTTCTATGCAGCAAAGACTGCCTATGGGGGCAACACTTGTTTTTAGAAGTCTTATACTATATAATTATTTGCATGAACTACTGCCTGGGTGACTCCTCTATGTAGAAAACTTCAAAATTCTTTGCTAAAGACACTGCCCATGGTGGCACCACTATGCAAATAAGGCATCAAGTGTATTTTGGAGC